ACTTACTTACTACCCATTACGCCATCTGGCGTTTAGGGCAGCAACTGTTGCTGTTTCTGTAACATATGCTTTTTACCAGTCTGGGTTGTTAGCCCTGAGCTGAACCTCCGAAACCTGGAGGGCCGGTACTGACACTCAAACTTTATTTCCCCCCGTCGTGTCCCAGGCGGTTTCGGCACGTTCCACTCGCTGCTCAACTCCTGGATCCACTTCATGATGTACATGTACTACGGACTCTCCGCCATGGGCCCGGCCTTCCAGAAGTATCTGTGGTGGAAGAAGTACATGACCACCATGCAGATTGTGAGTATATGTACACCAATGTGCAACATACCAATACACACATACACAGTCTATATAGTTAGTATATATTATCTACACCAAAACACAACGTAGCAATAAACACATAAACAGTCTATATAGTGAGTACATAACAAAATACAAGATACAAGTAGAAAGTCTATATGCTTACAATCTAATCAGAGAGTAAATACCAGTACACAAATATATTGTGGCCATCAAGCTCAAAACTGAACGGTCGAAGGTTCGAACCCTCCATAAGAGGCCTGACGTTGTGTTCTTGGAAAAGGCACTTTACAAGATTTTGTTTTCACTTCACCCAGGCGTGAATGGGTACCCAGCCATAGACAACTGTAAAGACCATATCGGGTTGTTAGTGTTTGAGCATATGTAATCCGCAGCTTGCACTGTATATTTCTCAGGCTACTCATCTTTTTTTTCTTCAACATACTTTTAACCCCTCCCTTCTCTCCAGCTAAGACACTTTATTTATCCTCCCCTCCCCCAACCGCCAACCCCTCTCCCTCCTTCAGACCCAGTTCGCCAGTGTTATTATCCACGCATCCCAGCTGTTGTTCATGGAGTGCGACTACCCCATATTCTTCGTCTACATGATCGGTTTTTACTCCTTCATCTTCTTCGTCATGTTCGGCAACTTCTACGTCCAGTCCTACCTCAAGCCAAAGGCAGCCCCCAGCAAGCAGTTGCACTCTGCCAACGGATCTGTCGCTGACCATAACAAGGCGAAAACATGCTGAGGATTTAGCTGACATTTCATTATCATCCACAGGTTTATTAGTGCTGCAGTACTGCACACTTACAGCAGTTTAGTTTGGATATATGTATTTGATGTCTGGGGTTGTTTTTTTCGTTTTTTTTCAACAATATAATATTTATTTTTCGTTTAGAAAATATTGATTTTTTTTTACATTTGTAAGAATTCCATAATCTCATCATCAATTTTTGTCTTTCTCTTAGAACCCATGACCACACAATAGATGGTTGTTTCTGTTATTCCCCACATCTCCCTGCATTTGTCAGTGGGTGAAATGACGTCAGGATTACATTCATGATGACTATTACCAAATACATGTGTTATTTTTCTAACCTTTTTTTGTTGTTTTTGTTTCGCTTACTAAAGACAATTGCTCATGAAACAAAAAACGCAAAAAAAAGACTGATCAGATTAATGAGATTATTTTTTTTATTGATCTCCTCAAAGAGAAATTTGCAGCGTCATGATGAATAGCCACACACTCACGCACTCATCAACATACCCACGCACTTTCTCTTTCTCACTCACACACACACACACACACACACACACACACACACACACACACACAAACACACACACACACACACACACACACACACACTTTCTCACTCACAGACACACATACACACACACATTGGTAAATGAGCAGCACGGCACACATTTGTGTACAGTAATGTGAATGAGTGCTAAGTTATGTGTAAAGCAATGTGTATTTGAGGTGCATGTTATTCTGTACTGATGACATCAGCTTTTCAGATGTACGTTGCGTCGGTGGCCTAGTGGTTAAGCTACTGGACTCGTAATCGTGAGGTTGCAGGTTCGGGGGTTCGAGCCGCGGGCCCGACGTTATGTCCTTGGGAAAGGCACTTAACACGAATTTTCCTCACTTCACCTTGGTGGGAATGTGTACCCGGCCAGAGACAGCGAAACATCTTGTCAGTATATTAGTGTTTTAGCGCCTATAAATTGTCTCTTGCACTGTATGCTTCCCACGAAGTTAAGATTTTGTTTCAGAATGCTGTCAGGTCTGCTGGGGTAATAAAATAGATTGTGAAGCACATAGAGCTTGCTGATGAGCTGGAATTTGCGCTGTACAAAAGCTATCTATTATTATTATTATACTATGAAGTCGCAAGCTGGCTGGAATAAATAAATAAAAAGCAGGAATAGCCTTTCCTCAAATAATATTCCGTAAAAATCTTACGATAATATAAAAGTTTGTTGGGGCTTCCTAGTGTTACAGGTGATGAAATGTACGTAACACTCTCATACATATTACATTTTACTGGAACTGTTACTTCATCTCATAAAACACGCACTAAATAAAGAATACGTATGAAAAGAAAAACAAAAGTCTTATTTTTTATGTTCTTCCATGAACATGTTGATAAGATGTCACTGTCCTGCACGGTAAAAAGAGTGCGCTTTTTACGATGGTTTGGATAACTAAATTTCCACCACGGAGTTTCATTAAGATTAATTCCTCCCCAAACAAAGGTGGTTCATTCAGAAAATAAAAATCACGCCTGTCCCCCTTTCCCAAAGAAAGGCAACCCCCCAGCCAACCATAGTTTCCCGCTTATTTGTAGGTGTCGTCCCTATCCGCTGGTGATTTCCCTGGTACTTATTTTGGGAGCTACACACGTTTGGCTTACTACATTCTATATTTTGAAGTGTTATACCCTTCCTGATTGCAATAAACTGGAACATTTTTAGCCAGTTTTAGAAGAAAAAAAACAAATGAAATTTTCAACCCGTTCGATTTTCTCCTCGTACCATCCGGTGTAGCATTCACTTTCTAAAGCCCCTATGTCCAAGTTTGTAAGTTTACTCTTTTTTACCACTACGTACCGTGGCTTAGACGTTCAAAATCTTAAGACTGAAGGGAGTACGTTAAACTACCGAGGTTTTATTGTACAGTTATTCGATATATGTATTATATATTTTATAAGGTCACGTTGGTATTTGACTATTTAATGAAACGCTCTCTGTATGATTTGTATTTTGGAATCGCAATTTTGCCTCAGATTCATGTAATTATCTCTACTCAATAGACTTGTTTCTGTTAAGTACTGTAGAAAAACTACTTTAAATTTATACACTAAGAACTGAAGAACACTTTAAATGTTTTAAAAAAAACTTTTGTCACAAGATGAACTGTGCCCTCGATTTGTAATTATGTTTGTTTTATGTCTTTTTTAGTGTGTATGATAATTGTTGCTACAGTACATGCACATTGACATGTATGTGTTCTAGCTCTTCAAAACAAAATGGACCCTGTCTGGTCAAAGCAAACGTTCTTTTTTCTCCTGAATAGTCACAGTTGAATTGTATGTTACGCGTGCCTCTACCGGCGTCTGTGGTGTAGCTGTTAGATGCTTCTCTGTCGTATGCAGGAGCCCCTTGTTAGATTCCCCGAGTGGGCAGAAATTTTTTCTCGGGTAGCTTGGCTGGGTCTTTCTGCTGGAATGTTGTATCTCTCACAGCCCGAGTTGGTCCTGACAGGCAGGTCAGAAGCCCGCCTCCTAAATGATCTAAACCGTGTCTGTAGAGACATAAAAAACGTTAAAAAAGATGTTTATCTGTCTTGGAAGGCGTAGATGGTCAATGTCCTGCTCAGTGAGAGAGGTTCTCATGAACCGGTCTACGTCTTTCACTGGAGAGGTTGCCAGACTGCAGAATAGAACTCTTGTCATGGACTATGGACGGAAACGTGTCGAATGTACTGGTCATGTGACCGTTGTAGAAAGTCAGGCGTTTACATGGATGCTGCCCCCCCCCCCCCATTTTCTTTTGTCGGTTTTTATATGGTACAGTAATATCATAGTTCTTATTCTCAGTATTGATTATTCTCAGGATAACCCTATATTAGTTGTGTTTGCTAACCACCTTTTTGTGTGCAAACGTAACTTCTTCAATTTTCAGTTATTTTCAAAATCCCAGTTCCATCTGTGCTACCAAAAAGCATTGTTTCTGGTGTTATTAACTTCTATAGTTTGTGCTTTGTGCACCGAACTAAGCACTGCAACTCCTGACTCAGTCTCATTCTAACGACTCTTGTCAGTCAGTGTAGAAATATATTATTTCATGCTTGCCTCTTTGACATTGGGCTTCGTACTTGGATAATAAATTTCCACAAAAAATAGTAATGTATCGTTATTATGTTTGAATGAAGCGTTTCTTTTTCATCTTTGCTTAGCACGTTCTGCTTTCCCCAGCATCGTCTCCAACACATCAGTCTATTATGAAGACCGAGCAACAATATTTTTACATACAGGCCATCTTTTTAAAAACTTTTTGCAGACTTTTACTATAGTTCAAGCTTTTGTCTAGCTCCTTACGTGTAGCAGTTGAGGGCAAGAGAGGCAGGGGAAGACCCAGAACAACATACTTGGGGAACCTAAACAAATGGGTAACGGGGAAAGATCAGAGAAACGTGGCTTTTTTAGAGCATCCGAGCAAAGGAATGAATGGAGAACCATGATCGCCGATGTCTGTCGCAGATCTGGCACTGGATGTTGATGATGACGTGTGACAGTGTGGTGAAATCAAGCACTCGTTTATTTACTTTTCATAGCAGGAAGGGTTTAAAAATCAGAAACTTTTACATCCCTGAAAATAATGATATCCACAAAACAGGTATTTTTCTGCCTGTTGAGCAATTTTAGCTATTATCTATTGGGGGTTCAACACCTTTCACATCCTTTTAAGACATTTATTTGTGGATTTGACAGAAAAACGTTGATTAGAGGCACAAAACAAATGTAAATTTGCAGTTTCTACGGACACTCAAGCTTTGAAAATCACCAAAGTCTTGGTGGCCATTTTCTGGCTTATTTAACTTCTGACTTGTGTGTGGAAGGGGGG